TAGCACAGGGCTGTTAAGTCCAAACCGGAGGTATCCATTTGGAGAAGCTGTGCTCTGGGTTGTTAAATAAGCCCTGCAGGGAAACTGAGCTTTTTTTTCCTAAAACTTATGTGTTGTCTGCTATTTAATATGATCTCTGCCACTGCTGATTTGTAATCTGTGCTTTCACCCTGAAATGCATGTGGTTGTGTTCAGATATTTCCTTTAAATCAATCACTTTCACCATTTTCCAAAACACTTCTTGAGTTTATTGCTTTTAGTAAAGTGTTTGGACTGTCATTATTTATTACTGGCAAAGTGCTGACAACGTGCTCTTCCCAAATGAGTCTTTATGTGGAATATTTGTTTAGCAGGTTTTGCAGGGGAGGCGTGGATGTCCCTGCAGCACTGCAGGGCGGGGGTCTGCCCGGGCAGCAGCCCCCAGTGTCCCCAGCAAGGGGCCGGTCCCTGAGAGGGGCTTTGCGTCTGGCCCGGGAGCTGGGCTGCTGTGCTGATTAATTGGACAGAATTTAAAACCCTAACCCAGGAAGCTTACACCACGTGTAATTTATCTTTCTGGAGTATTTCTGCTGTTTGGCAATTTTTCCCTACTGCTTCATTATGTGAAAACTCCTGACTCTGGAGAGGATGTGAAGGATGTGGGAGCGGCGCGCTTGCCGCCGCAGCCTCCCGAGACACGGCGCTGCTCAGCTGAGACAGCCACTTCATAAGCACTTCATGCTTGCAGTGCCAGGGCTCAACTCTTTGATGCAGCCTCTGCCTGGAAGGATTTAATGGGCTGCAGCTCAGACTTCCAAGCGGCGTAAATTAAACTTGTTGGTTTTTTTTTTTTTTTCCTATTGTTTGGCAGCTGCTCTGTCCTAGTTACTCAAGTCCTCTGATCTGAATTAATCCCCGTGTAGGGGAAGCTGCAGGAGCTTCATCCTGCATTAGGCCTTTCATTTTGGGCTGCTGGTCCAGCAGATCACGCGCCCTCGAGAGCAGCAGCGGGGCTGTGCGTGCTCCTGTGGGAGGGGGCTCAGCATCCCTGGGTGCAGGCACCTGGGGAGGGGGCTGCCAGTGCGTGGGCTGCGTGCTGCCCTCCTCCCTTCGTGCAGCTGGGAAAGCTGAGTGGGGAGATCCGAATGTGGAAAGAATCGCTCACTCTCTTTTTCATTCTCTCCTGCCATTGGGCTTTTATAAAACCTGAATCTGGCACCCCCAGTCCTCACTGACTCTTAGGAAACAGGATATTTTAGTAGCTTGGAATGAGATGAAATGCTTGCAAAGCCCATATGTTGCTTGTTTTAGGGAAAGGGTCAGGAAGGTTTTTAAAAGTATTTAAATATTTGGTTTACACGATTAGAATAGATTGTCTGGAATGAAGTCCATTACCCGAGGTGATTCTTGCCTCGCAGTTTAGGTTTTCATTGCAGTTCTTTGGAGTATGAGGTAGGTGTTCTGGCATCTCAGTGCCCCAGCACAGTCAAAGTTAAGGGCTGTGAAGAAATGCTGTAGCTGGGATCTAGCCACTGCTGGAGCCACAGATAGCTGCTGTGGCAGTGCCTGCCTGGGGATGCTCCTGCCAGAGGGGTTTGCCAAGTCCTCTGGTTCATAGAGCCCCAGCAGCTTCTTTCTCAGACCTGTGCCTTTTCCAGGCTCCATAAGCAAAGCTTCCATGTTGGATTGCATTTCTTGAGAGCTGCAGCCTGATATTAACTCATTTTAGGTGTGTTTTCAGCTTTCTACAGCTTGAAATTTAATTGTTCCATTTTTCATGAGGAATGATCTTGGCGTGATCATTGTTTATGAAGAGTAAGGTTGGGTTTTTTGGGTTTGTTTTTTTTTTTAAAGGTGTTCCCATGAGGTCTTGAAGCACTGTTCTGAAGGTTGTTGTGAAAAAATCAAACTTTGTTGCCTGACAGTTCAGATGCTGCTCTGGGTGTCACACTTGTACCACCCTATCTGTCCCTGCTGGGTCCAAAGCCCAACTTACCACTGGGCTTTTGCTGTACATTGTTGATATTTTTATATGAATTACGAAGCATCCTTTGATATCTGGCACTTCCCCTTGCGATCCTCTGTTCTGTTTTATGAGTACTTGCCCCCTCACTTCAAAAGCAGTTCATCACCTTCCTGCAGACAGTTCTTAATAACAGGTTTGGAACTGTCAGGCATTCCTGGGCCTGTTTTATGTGAGTTTCTTCCAAAAATGTTCAAAAAGTGGCCATAATGTGCACAGACCTCAAATCCCCTTGGCCTGCGCGTGAAGGATCTCCTCATCACATGCTGACTTGTTCTGTGGATTTGCTGAATAAAAGAGCAACTGAAGTGAAGAGGGTGATTAAACTTGCTCTAAATTGTCTTGAAATTATCCTATGCTGGGGAGAAGTACGTTTGGTGTTGGAGCAGTGCTGGAGCAGCAGGGTTTGACTCCAGCCATGGGGGAAAGGCTGGAGCCTGGCCTGGCCTTGCCAGGACCCTCTGTCCTCCTGCTGTGCCAGACTGCTTGTCCTTGGGGAGGAGGAAAACTGCTTCTGACACTTCCAAAGGCAGACAATTGGCATGGGGATAGTCTTTGTGAGGTTCCTTAACACCAGAGCTTCACTAAAGTACTAATAATTACTGTTAATATCTTTCAGTGGAAACTTCCTGAGTAAACGAGTGCTGGTTGAGGCAGCGTTTAACGGCCGCTGCTGGCATGATCAGAATGCAAATAAGTGTTATTAGCCTAATGATTTTGCTGTCACCACGGTGTGCAGCAGTAGTGCTGTGAATATGTCATGCAGTACCCGTGAATTTGGAAAGTGTGTCAAAACACAACTTCAATTAGTTTGCTCTAATTATGACTCTAGAGAGTTCATAAGTGTATCACTCCTCATTAAAAGAGATTTTCTTATATGATGAATACAGCACATAAAGGGGCGTTGGAGCCACGGAGGCAGGGCTGTGCAGAGGGAGGATGCTGGAGCTGCAGCAGGTCTGCAGCAGCACTGGGCTCCAGCCCCATCCCAGGAGCTCCTGCTGCAGGGCTGGGGCTGGAAACCTCCCAGCCAGGAGCACTTGGCTGTGCCAGGTCAGCCGTGGGCAGCAGGAGCCTGGTAGAAGGTTCTGGACAGGCTCTTCAATTAAAAACAACCAAACCAACAAGCCCCAAACCAAAAAAGCCCTGGGAGGAACCACCCTTGATGCTGAAATAGAGATGTAGCCCAAAAGCTTTGCCCTGGCAAAGGCCAAGGGGCACAAGCAGCCAGAGGCACAAGCCTGTGCCAGCCTGAGAGGCCCTTTGGGGGGCTGGGTGTCTGTTCCCCCTTCCCAGGTATTTGTAGTGCATTTTATGTCTTGTCACATTGCCTGATCGTGTTGCAGCTTTGCAGAACAGGAAGAGATTGCTGTGCTCACAGGTGAGCAGCTGGGTAAGGGTTAAAGTAGTAATTGTTTAAATCTTTTAGGCTTTCCTCCCAGTTCTGTGATAATTTGATGAAGAACTTCACCCTAATTAAATATTCAAATTAGGAATAAGTGTCAATATGGCTTCCTGGTGCCTGGAATGATGATTAATTGTATTCAAAACTCTAGTGGCCGCTGTAATCTAAACCAAACCGTTGTTCTTGATTATTTGTGCAACACATTTACCATGTTTTTGTTTTAAAATTTAAACTAGTAATTGATTTGCCATATGCCACAGAACTGCACATACTTTCACGATATGTGTTTAGGAACTTGGGGACTTCATAATTGGGATTTTCTTGCTTTTCAATGGCAGCCTCTTTTTTTTTTTGTCTTCTACAATGCAAAATAATTTGGCTCTCACAACACATAAGGAAAATGCATTATGCAATCAAGTTTGTAGGTATAAGCTATATTGATCCTGGCCAAAGTTTACATTACTTTAAAATAAATTAGGCTTTGTTTTCCATTCCTCCCTACAATGTCATCTTTTATAAAAAGAAAGAGGAAAGCAGAGAGCTGATTTCCATCCAGCAGTCATTGCCCTGTCTTGTGCAGCTAATGTTCTTCTTGGAGACATCTCTCTGGCTGTCTCTGCTGAGAAGAAGGCAGTTCCTCATAGAGGGCAGAGAAATTCTGTCTGCCTTTGGTGCCTTGGAAAATATTTTTGAGTACTTCCATTAAAAATCAAACGAGAAGTGTGTCATGCCCACAGGCAGTGGTCTCCTGTTTTAAAGTGTGTTCATAACAAACATGCCTCTGCTCCAGAGACTCTCATGTGGATTGTGTTTTAAACAGCAAACTGATAGCCAAATTCAAATACATTTTCACGCCATCTTTTTTTGGTTAAAAATAGCTTTGAAAAGCACAAGCAAACTCAGACTAATGTTTGCTTTTTCTTATTTTATCTGTGCTGTTCACCATCATCTGCATCAGGGGCTAAAAATACATTGTTCTTCCCAAAACATGTCCTGTTTTTGAAGGCAGATAACTTCCAGATGATTGGTGTGGTAGATAAAATTTGCTGGCTGAGGACATGGGTTTGGTGCACTGCTGGAGAGGGCCCTGTCTCACTCAGGGGCATCCAAGGGGACACGAAGGCTGCCTGGTTCTCCTGGCAGGAGGGTGGTGCTGGGGGTCTGCCCGGGTTCAGGAGCTGCTCCCTCTGCCTCGTGCTGCCCTGAGCCCCTCCGTGAAGGGGAGCTGTCTTTTTCACGTGTGGCAATGCGGCGCAGAAGATCAATAATAACATTTTATGAGAATTCTCACCGGCTGGGGCTCTGCAGGTTTGAGCTGAAGGGGCAGAGCCGTGCTGGCTCTTGGTGGGCTCTGCTTGTGCAGCCCCTGGGGCTGGAGGCCCTGCTGGGCTGGACGGCCCCTGCTGCACTCCGTGGTTGTTGGCCGAGCCCAGGGCTCCGAGGGCTGGAGGGGGCTGACACTGAGCAGCTGGTAGATGGTTTTGGAAGCAATATTAAAATTGATGTTTGCTGCTTAACCTGGCTGGAGTGAGCTGGCAGGAGCAGCATCTTGTGCTCTGTAGTAACATTTGCTGTGCCCTCCCTTTCCCTCAGGCATATCTCGCTGACGCTGCCAGCCAGCTTTCGGGGCAAGAGTCACAGCACCCGCCTGGACCTGGAGCACCAGCACTCCAACCTGTACGCCATCTCAGGTGAGCTGCATGCCACACTGCCCTGTATGTCATTCCAGGTGAGCTGCAGTGCCACCTGCCCTGCTCGGTGCCTCCGGTGAGCTGCAGTGTCACACTGCTCTGCTCCCCATCCCAGGTGAGCTGCAGTGCCACCTGCCCTGCTGGCCATCACAGGTGAGCTGCAGTGTCTCACTGCCCTGCTCAGTGCCTCAGGTGAGCTGCATGCCACACTGCCCTGCTGGCCATCCCAGGTGAGCTGCAGTGTCTCACTGCCCTGCTCAGTGCCTCAGGTGAGCTGCATGCCACACTGCCCCACTCAGTGTCTCAGGTGAGCTGCAGTGCCACCTGCCCTGCTTGCCATCCCAGGTGAGCTGCAGTGCCACCTGCCCTGCTGGCCATCCCAGGTGAGCTGCAGTGCCACCTGCCCTGCTCGGTGCCTCACTCACCCCTGCTGGGCCACAACTGCTCTTGGAGGGGGTTTTTTGTAGTAGTTACACCTGAACAAATATTGGCGTAGGCGTGGTGGAATCACATTTAGCACAAGTTTTGCTCTGTTACGTTGTTTTTGCAGGAGGAAAAAGATAGTGGATTTAAACCTGACTCTGTCAAAGCCTAATGAAAGGCTAGTCCCATCGTGTGGCTGAAGGAGATTTTAGGACAGTTAGGAAATCCAGCAGTTGGTATCATCTGGCTGAAGGAGATTTTAGGACAGTTAGGAAATCCAGCAGTTGGTTCAGTGGGTTGTGCAGCTGAAACTGCTTGTGCATAATCAGGGAAGAGACGATGGCAAAAATGTACCATTCACAGGTTCCTCCTATTAATAGAGTGACACTTGTAACATGGGAACATGGCATTAATTCATGTACCATAATCAAAGGGTTATTTAAAAGGTAATCTCTGCCTGAAACTGCAGCTTCAGGTTCCCAAAGAGATAGAATGTAACAATTGCATAATCCTTGTCAGCCCTCGTTTTTCTTGTTACTCTCCTGCCCTAATACATTTGGAAATGTAAGGGAAGTGTATTTTTGTGTTCACACGAGACAGTTCTGCATGGGGACGGGAAGCTGTGCTTTCTCTCCTGGGGAAGCACCAAATGCACCAACTGCAGCAGCTCTGTGTGGGTGCTGGTGGCACTGCCCTTGCTGCAGGATGTGCTGGCCTCTGCTCCTGCTGCAGCCTCAGGAGGTGCCTGCTTTACAGAGCCTGAGCACTTTACCAGATCCCTACAGGCAAAGCACAAAACAAGGCCTCGTAGAACTGGACAGGGCATTAGTTCTTCATGTTTGCTTGAGCACATTTTCAAGTATATAACTCTTTATTTTTCCTCCAATTGCACATTCTCCTCCAGAAACACGGTTATGAGTTGTGCACGTGTTGTAATGGCTATTCCAGCTGTGAGTTCTTTCCAGAGAAAGGGTCTTGTCGTACGACACATCCTGTGCACTGACAGGACTTTTGTGCACAGCTCCTGCCCACGGCTGCCTTGTCAGCAGCTGCGGTGAGGTGCCGCAGCTCTCTTTGTGTGCTCGGGCCCTGCCGAGGTGCATTAGCCCCCAGACGCTCTGGGAGCCATTCCCAAGTTTCCTGTTCCTGGTCTGGGCTATCTGCAGTGCTGCTGCAGTGCCATGGCAACAGGAGATTTAGGAGCAGGCTGCTGCCAGCTCCCGCTGCTGCGGGATGCTGGGTGGGGAGAGCAGTGCACGGGCTGTGGGCTCCCTCTCTTGGCTCCCAGGTCACAAGAGGGGTTCTTGGGGCTGCTGAGGGAGACAAAAACCATTGTGAGCAGTCTCTTCCAGTTTCAGCACGGCCTCAGTGTGCCGTGGGCACAGGAGGAGCTGCTTGGGAAGGGAGGGCTGTCATGGGGGTGGGATGAAGAGCTGCTCTTGGGGCTGCTGGGGAGACAAAAACCATTGTGAGCACTCTTCCAGTTTCAGCATGGCCTCAGTGTGCCGTGGGCACAGGAGGAGCTGCTTGGGAAGAGAGGGCTGTCATGGGGGTGGGATGAAGAGCTGCAGGGTGGTCTCTCTTTGCTCTCTATAGACAGCCAAGGTTTTCTCAATATTTGACGGAAACAACACTTCCAGCTGTGGTTCAGCATGTTTGGGGAAGATAAAATGAATTTTGGCTGTCGATCCTACTTTGTATCTCAAATATATTTTGGCAGAATGACTGTATCCTCACTGGAACTGCCCATTACCCCTTGGGCTGTGTAATGCAGGTTTTTGTTTGCACAGAACTGGAGTCAATGAAAAAATGGTCCTGAAAGCAGTAATTACAATTTTTAACCAGTCTTTTGTCATTGCCAGTCTTGGCCATGACACACTGGGTGACCTGAAAGTTAAGGAGACTTCTCTTGGCATACACTAAGTGAGTTCCTGGCAGGATGCAGATAGGGAATCAGTGCCCAGAGCCTGTCACGAGCCATGGTAGTGCAGCACTGGCACTGCTGGCATCATCCTCATGCCCAGCAGCCTCCCTCATCCCACCCCATGCCGTGTTCCAGACCAAAAAGGCAGAATTAGCTCTAAGCTGCTGTGCAGAGTGTCTGTGGGTGCTGCTGGGGGCAGGATGCTGAGGAGCTGCCAGGTTTAATGTGCATGCTGGGGCAGGCAGCTGCTGGAAGAAGAATGCCTCGCTCCAGACAGACCTGTTGACAGACATGGCTCAGTATTTCACAGCACAGTCTTTCCTCATGGCCTTCAGTTTAATTAAGATGTTGTTGTGACTACATACTGCCTTCATTTCAGACTTGAGCATCTTCTGCCAGCATATTGCTTTGGCTTATCAGAGGCACAAGCACAGTGAGGGAGAGGCAGCCCTCGCAGGCAGGCACAGATAATAACATACAGGGAAAATTCCTCAATGAAGTGAAAAATTATTTATAATAATGGTACTCAAATAGAAGGGAAATAAGTCACTCTAAGGGTATATAAATTTTTATGATAGTGTATAAACAGCCATAGCCTGCCTTGTCTCCCATCTATTCCTGCAGAGAATGAGGGCAACATCTAGCATAAAGAAAAATACAATAAGAAAATGAAGAAATGAATGGGAAGAGCTGGAGGATTGATCACCCAGTGTATTTGTATATCCTGATGTAAAAGGTGCTGCTGACAGGTGGCCAGGTTTCTTCTGTATAAAACCATGTGTGTGCTGTCAGGGCAGTGTGAGCAGCCTTGTTTCGATTGATGAATTGCCTGCTTTCTTGATTAAACCTTCCATCACTTACAAAACAAAAAGCCTGTGTTTCAATGGCAGAGTGGGACATGTCAAAAAAATCTGTCTGCTTTACCTTTGTGCAGATGTTGGGCACAGACTGTAACATGTATTATTAAAACGAATGTGGCATTTACCGTGCATTATTTCTTTCCTGGGAGAAGGGACCTGTAAATTATATGCTAATAATAAGCTTTAACCCTTTCAGGAACCAAGAGATGTAGGAGTGTAAATATTCTGCAGGCCTCACTTAATTGGATGGGCTCTAACACCACGGCAGCACTCTGCAGTTACCAAGCAGTGGGTTCCAGCCCTTGCTGCCAGTGATCTGTGTATTCTGCTGAACAACATTGTCTTTTTTTTCCCCCTGAAATTTCCCTGTAGCCATCTTCAGCACTGTATTACAGATAGATGTGTTTTGGGGCAGCAGCAGACAAGTTTGTGTAATTTGACTCCAGAACAATCTCAGCCCGTCTCTTGGCCTGTTCCCTGATTAGGATAGAAATTGTGTTGTGTGGAGTCCATCAGTCTGTACAACCCCATCAGAATGTGTGCATAAAGCAATTAAAGCCTCTTTACACCAGTTTTGTGCAGGAAACAATTGTATGAACTTCCAGATCCTGCTGCAGCTGGCTGTATAGCCAGAAACCCAACTTCAGTCATAGGAACCTTTCCAAGGATATTTATTCTGGCAGAAATTTGGAGATAACAAGATAATAAGTTCCCCTTGGGTAGGACCGAGGTTCATCTTTTGAACACTTAAACTGTGCTGGGAAAGCAGTAGAACAAAAGCAGAACATACTTTGATATATGTTTGTTGGTAGTATTTTCAAATAACATTGCCAGCTGTCAGCCCCAAACAGTCAAAATATTTGTGCAAGTACCTTAAGAAATGGTGTTAGCTGGACGTACTAATATGTCATCCATAATTCTGGGCATCCACGCTCAAGTCATGTTAATCCTTAGAAATAAAACAGGATCCAGAAGCGCAGCGCCTCTCACCACCCAGAGCATTCTCAGCTCAGTTCAAGACCTTGCTGAGCTGCAGGTGAAGGTTTTCATTCCCTTTAAGGGGAGAAAAGCCACGTCCTCTGGGTTGGAGCTTAGATGTCAGATCCCAAAAAACATAAGACTCTTTATGTTCCGATGAAGGAGCGCCCGCGCTGTGACCCAGACCGCAGCACCTGCTGTTTGTTTGGCTGAGGAGCCATGGGTTTCCAGCAGTCACTTGATGCTGAAATGCCTTTGCATGTGTTTCCTACCTTAAAGGTACTGTTTTGTGGTCTTTAAACACTTTATTGCTAGATCTCAAGTTACTTGTGTGAAGCATTTTCCTGTGAGAAGCTGGGCTGAGCAGGGAAGGGAAGCGCGGCCGGTGCCAGCGCAGCGGTGTGTGCCAGCATGCCATGAAGGAGGTTTCCCTCTGCAGCTCTTACAGGTGCCAGTTTCTGCACAGCTCTGGCTTGTTTATTTTGGAGTCACACACCAGTATTTATTACCTTAGGCAAATATTTACTTAAATGAGCATTTATTATATTTATATAGAAATAGTTTTTTATGATATTTAAATATTTATCGCCCTCTTTAAGACACTTTCTGTGAAAGGTCAGAGCAAACTGCGGTCTGAGAGTTTGGAGAGGGAAACGTGTGAGCAGAGGCTGCAGTCCCAGTTCCTCCTGGGTCGCACAGGTGAGCGTTCCCAGCAGGAAGCCCAGGGCAGAGGCTGTGGGGAGGGGGCAGAGGGTCTCAGGCTGGTGCAGCCCGGCCAGGGCGAGCCGAGCGGGGTCTGGCCGTGGCAGGAGGGC